AGTTTGAGGGGGGGTGCAAATGAAAAGTTCGAGGTGGGGGGGGGGGGTGCAAATCGAAAGTTTGAGGGGGGGGGGGTGCAAATGAAAAGTTCGAGGGGGGGGGGGCGCAAATCGAAAATGTGCTCCCAAGGGGGCGCCAAATTGAAAGTATGTCCCCGGGCGCCGGGAAGGGTCGCTACGCCTCTGTGTGGCACTGTGTGTGTGTGTGGGGGGGGGGGGGGGGGGGGACGAGGGGTGAGCGGGGTGACACTACATATGCTACAGTTTTAGTTCAGCTTACCAAAAGTCTTTGAGGGGGGGGGGGGGAGGTTGGGGGGGGGGGTGGGGGGTGGTGACACCCTGAGTAACGGTTAAAGTATGCATTTCTAACTATGTCAGCAGATCTCACGATGGAAGATTGCTGAGGGTAAATCATCTTTTCAGAACTAACATTTCGTTGGGACAGGTGAAGTAGAGTTCGTCAGTTTTTCGAAACTCGGCATAGAATGAATCAGAGCTGGACTCACTCCTGAGCAGTGGCGTAGCGAGGTTGGGTGTCACCCGGTGCGGCACTTAATGGTGTCACCCCCTCAGAGGCGTAGCGACTCTTCTCAGGGGACAAACTTTCAATTTTCGATATGCACCCCCCCCCCCCTCGAACTTTCGATTTGCACCACCCCTCAACTTTTTCTCTATATATTTTACTATTTTTTGCCTTGGTGTCACCCCCCTAAATGGTGTCACCCGGTGCGGTCCGCACCCCCGCCCCCCCCCTCGCTACGCCTCTGCTCCTGAGTGTGTGTATATGTGGCTGTGTGTATATATAAGTATGTGTGTGTGTGTTTGTGTGTACACCTGTCCAAAACATTTTCCTCAATATTTGTGACATACGTACTGTGTTTTCTGGTGTATAAGACTTTTTCACCATTTCTAATCTTATCAAACATCGGTTGTTGTTATCAGTGGCGTAGCAAAAGAGGACGGGTGGGAGTCGGGCCCCACCCCTGCGCCTACCCTAATGGAGGGAGCAGAGGCGTAGCGACCCTTCCCGGCGCCCGGGGACATACTTTCAATTTGGCGCCCCCTTGGGAGCAAATTTTCGATTTGCACCCACCCCCCGCCCCCCCCCTCGAACTTTTCATTTGCACCCCCCCCCCCTCGAACTTTTCATTTGCACCCCCCCCCTCTAACTTTCAATTTGGCGCCCCCCCTAAGGTCGGCGCCCGGGGACATTGGAGCAGAAAAAAAATAAATAAAACCTCTAATTTTGATCTGAGCTACTATACAGTGTCGAAGTTAATAAAATTAAATAGACTGCAACTTGACTTTAATGAGTGATATAATGGTTCATTACATTAATTGTGTGCCGTCAAAATAGAATAGCACAGTGTCTGGTAGAAATTAACGTAAATAACCATATACAAATGGAGGGGGGGGGGGGGTAGGCGCTAAAAATAATATTTCGCCCAGGACACTACAATGGGACACTTCGCCTCTAGTCGTAGTCTAGTGCAAGCGTGCCTGAAACTATTTTTTTTTACTTCAAAATTTAGAATCTACATTTTAGCTGAAACAGTCGTGGAATGGCTGGAAGAAGGGGAGGATGGTCAGGGGGAGGGGGTGGGGGGTGGGGGCGGGGGTAATCGTCAACAGTCGTAGTTTGTCGCCTGTGGTCTTTTACGCCGGAAAATACACTAAACCAACTGCAATGGTGTGTGTTTTTCTTCTTTTATTTGGAGGTTGGGGTGGGGGTGGGGGGGGGGGGGGAAAGGGGTGCTGGTCTTGCTATCATATGCTAATCCGTAATCCTAACCCTAGCGCTTACATCCACCCGACACGTCCAGTGAGCGACCTTTGAAGTACCCCGCGGATACGGTGAACTACGTTACGCAATAAGCGGTAGCGCGAATCTAGGTGTGAGTTCAAGGGGTGGGGGGAGGGGTTGGGGTGAAGTTTACTGAGACCGTCAATTTGACCGGAGGGAGGGTGGTGGGAATGAGAAGACAGGACTCTGTGACGTCATCGGATTGTGTTGAAATATTCCCGAGTCTATTTTTATTTTTAAAAAGTTTTTTTTTATCCCTTTCCTATTTTCTGGTTTCGATAAGGGGGAGACAAACAACATTAGGAACTGCCTCTTGATTAGCGTACCCCGGTCACGTGATGCGGCCTCGCATGTCGTCAGAGCTGTCCCAGCCGTCACATGGTGTGTATGAGTGTGTGTGGGGGGGGGGGGGGGGGGGGAGTGGAATGGAGGGGCCGTGGAAACGGATGAAGAGGTATGGTCCGGACACAGAATCTGTCAAAACTTCCTCGGCTGTCACTCTTTCCTCAAGACAGGATACCACGCGAGAAATACATGCTATATATATATTAGCTGCACCCCCCCTCCCCCTATCCCTTTCCCCAACTGCCATTTTTCCCCACTTTCCATGAACAGCTCTCTTTAGTAAAAAATAAAAAACCCCGCCTCGAAATCGATCGATACACAACCAATTGATTGACACCTCACCAAACCCAGCCTCTCTCGTCCTCTCGTCGCTTCAAAAACTCTCGCACCGTCGCTTTAAAAACCCTAAAAAAAAAACAACACCGGATGACAAAGAGGGCGGGGCCTAAATGTCGCCAGCGTCGCTGCCTCGTCGCGCATTGGCTGTCGCCTGTCACCTGAAAATTAAACCCCGCCCACGCCAAGTTTGTAGTGGTGGAGGGGGAAAAATTTCCGTATTGACGGGGGTTATTTCTCCACGTATATTTTCCCAACGCCTCTAAAGGGCTCGCTTTAGGAGTTTGCGTCGAGCCAGTCACTAGAAGGACTTAGTGTTTGCCTAAGTGTTGAAGTTTTATAACGCAGTCAAACAGTCGCTGTTTTTTGCCCCCTAGCAGGCGTATGGGGCCATAGCAAGCACGAGATTAATAATATTAATAATTGCATATGCCTCACGGAGTGGACGTGTGTCCGTGTGTTCACCCACTAAACATTGCCAGTGTCCAAATTTGTTTTAACTATTTCGCAAAGACACCGAGGAACGAATCTAAGTCGGAATGTGTCTGATTCGGAGAAAAAAATTCTAATTGTGATTATTTTTTTCAAGATTATTTTTTTGAACCTACTTCACTAGAAACCACGCAAACGAATACATTTATTTTTCCGAAATCTACAAATTTATCGAAGGTAACGATACATAAATTAAGATAATTAAAATTATATTTTTAAAAAAAATTAACTCTTATACAGCGAATTTAAGAAATTGGTGATAATTAGTAATAATTAATGACTTAATGCCGGATATATATCTTGTGAATGAACATTCATGGATTATAAAGACTAACTATCGGTGTAAGAGTATTAGGACTAGACTCAACAAAAATCCAGTTTTTTTTCCAACTTTGTGTTCGCAGTTTTGAAGCCCAATGGATCTAGTCGTGACATAAGTCTATGCCAGTGTCATACGTCACACCACAGCTTACCTGTTAATAGCAAGGGTTTACTTTTTTTTCACCTAAAGGTAAGCTGAATGAATTTTTTTTAAATATATTCTTTAGATATGTATACCTATCTATATCATGTAAATAACATTTACAATTAAGAATGTAAATAGTATAAAAGAATGAAAAGAGTATATAAGAATTAAGACAGTATATATAAATCGACATCTCCACGCTAAAGCAAGTCATTTCTATTTTATAAATTTTGAATCGGTATACTTTTATAGAATCAAAATCCAAACGGATAAACAAGTATAGATTATAGTTAACGCGATGAGTTAGTTAAGGTTTGGTTACCGTTGAGTAATATTGCAAACATTATGTGCGCTAATACTGATGTACCTTTTAAAAAGTATCGATATATTCTTATTAAACCTAGATTTAGAGTAAAATCTAGTGTTAGGATTTAGGGTCTAGAGTTAGTTAATGTAGGCTTATTAGGTACGGGCCTTGCCTATTTCAAAGTATCGATTCTAAGTTTATCGTTTCTCGACTTCGTATGTAATACCATGCCATCAGATTTGAGTATATTTCAACTATCATACACTGTAATGAACCGTCTATTTGTGTGTAATAATTAACCCCCCACCCGACCCCCACCCTCTGTACGTGTTAATTGCACCGATTCTGCAAGCTCGTGAAAAGGTTAGACCCATCAACTCGGCCCGGTGCCTCTACCTGCTTGTAGAGCGATCTGCCAATCTTGCTCTGCCCTCGGGGCACGACGCGGGCAGCTTCACGGTGGCATTGGGGTTAAAAAAAATTAACGGGGAGGTTGAGAGTGGTGTGTGTGTGTGTTTTTTTTTTTTTTTAACACTGGGGAAGTCCAACTTTTAACCGGCTAAATCTCTAGTTTTAGCAAAGTTTTAAAATGGCTAAATCTCAAGTTAAACCGGCAACTAGGGGTACAATATAGAAAAAGGTTAACAATACCCGGTTAAATCTAAAATGTTGACACAGCCTTGTAACCGACTTAGCCGGGGCGTAGAATTGTTCAGATATTTAACCGGTTACATATTTCCCTACACACACTCAAAAGGCTAATTAAGATATAAATACGGTACATTTTTAGCCGGCTAAATTACGTGCATTCAACACATGATTGCTTATAGCAACCAGATATCTATCTAAACTAAAAAGGGATGTAACTGACACGATATTAGTTAGTATTGTTTGGTTTTTAAAATATATAAACAAACAAAATATTCATAACACAATGAACCCAAATGAATTGAGGATATACTTCTTAAAATTGACACTCTCCCACCTCATCTACCGAAAACAACAAAAACAATAACAACAATTACATACGTATTATACATACACATTAAATAATGCCGCAGTAACTGTACACGTATAGCAGGCCTACAAACAGTTGAACTATGGATACCGATTTGGTTATAATATACTGTATTCTTCTTAATGTTTATTATCAGTTACATACGGGTGAACATTACAGGCAATAATAAATGATAGCCAAAACTTAATATCTTACGAGTGTTATTTCTATTCGTGTTTTTAAGTTGCCTTTATTTCATTAAACCAATTAATTTGTGTTAGACCTATTGGGTTACCAAAAAGCTTGATTTAATCAAGTAACTCTTTTCTAAAGAATACCTTAGCTTCAAACACACAAAATGTGTGCAAATCAACAATCCAATACGTGCATACGATACCAGTTTAAATCACTAATGTGGTTAAGTCGTAGCTCTACCCCAAAGCTTAACCTTAACCGAAAAAAAAACCCAGCAAAACATATATCCCCTAACAAGAAGCTATATTTTACCAATACCAACAAACCACTTTTAAAACCTGTGCTAACTTTAACACTTCACCTCCCCCTCCCCCCCCCCCCTACCAACCATACAATCTGTAAAACTAATATTAAACATACCCAGCCCTGAATAGGTCGGAGCTAACCTCAACGCTCTACATATGAAAACCTCGGTCCCGGCGTTTTGACAATACGGGGGTTGGGTCACTTGGTACGCTTTGAGAAAAACGTCTTTTCTCTTGCCGTCTCGGCACAGTATTTAGGCAATGCAATGCCGTTAACCTCAGCGCGAGGGTTAGCCGTGTACTGGGAGTTATTGTCACCGTGTGTGTTTTGGTGTGTTGGGGGAATTATTTTTTTTTAAGTTGATGGTGTAGCGAATTTGCAACAAAAGGTGATAAAGGGTTTTGATGCTAACGTATATTTTGTTACTTGCGTATGTGTGTGGGTACTTGAAGGGTATACTAATAAGTAGTAAAGTGTGTCAAGAATGGAATAAGGTCAAGATAGTGAGTGTGTAGGTGTGTTGTAAAAACACACTTTTGCGAATATTTAGTGTAGGGCAATGGTATAAAGTTAAAGATCTAGCACCATTTGAAATATACACTAGCTTAAAAAAAACTAAACTGTTTTTGAAAATTTGTAATCATATTTGTAAACATAATTACTTTTGTTTATATTATGATTTTCGTTCGCAAAATTTGCAATCCAAGTAGCTTATTTAAAAAAAATCTAATTTAAGTCATTGTTCACAATAAAAGTGTTGAAAAAAGTTAAGACTATCACTTTACAAATGTGATGGTTTCATGCCCTCATAGAGTTGGTGAATAAAAAATTAGGAATAAAACAACGATACAAAAGACGTCATAATGAAACTACCTCAATCATTAATTTATTTAAAAGTATATGTCTACATTTTCTGTTATTAATTTGCACATGAATTCAATTGATTATGCTAGTAAACATACAAATTCGATCATTTTTTTTACACATACAAGATTTATAATAATTGTACAAGTACACACAAACAAACAAACACTGCTAATATTGAACACTTGGCTTAATAAAGAGGATTAGCGTTAGGGCCAGTTTGTATACATGCCTCAAAGCGAATAGTCGGGTGTGACGAAGCGAAAAGATTATCACCAATCCTAATTTTCAAAAAATAATTTGGCTAAATAAAGTTTAATACAACCTAACAAAGTATTCAAATTCGTTATTCTAAAAATATTTGTGGCATTTTTATTCAATTGTATGCGTCTACGGTTATTTTGAGATTTATAATTGAATTTACATGAGAAAAATTTAATCAGCTTAATTAAAATTACTTAAATAACCATGTCCAATTAAACTCGGTATTATTGGAATGGTAGAAATTTAGAAATATTTTAACCGAAATTCTAATAAATTATTAGAATCATATAAACAGAAACAACACAATAATAAATGCGTAAAAATCCGTGTGTTCTATGTACACTGTCTTGTCGAGGAACCAATATCACCACCTTTTTTAAAAAAAATTAGGATTATTTAGATTAATTTAGAACTAGAACTTATCAACCAATCAAGGCAATATTTGACATCTTATGTTTAAGTTTAATTAATATGACGGTCCACTGAAGTTTGAACGAGTACGATACTAAGTCGACTTTTGATTAGGGACCGTTCATTTTCTCACTAGGTTCAACATTTGTTAGAAGCCGGTAAGACAACCGGTTGGTATAAGTTCAACCGGCTGGGATAAAAGAACCAGTTAATTACATACAACAGGCTAAAATATATCAAGCCGGTTAAAATTAAATAACCGGTTAAAATAAATATGACTAGCTAAAATAAATATTGCAGGCTAAAATAAATATATAACCGGTTAAATTAAATAAACGGCCAATGTAAATATTACCGGTTTAAATAAATATAACCCGTTATGATAAATATAATCGTTAAAATAAATATAACAATTTTAAATAAATAAAATAAGCGAAAGTGAATATAGCAAGCCAAAATAATTAACTGGGTTAAATAATTATAACCGCCTAAAATAGTCATACTAGTAAGATAAGACCGGCTAGAAAAAAGAGTAGCCGGCTATGAAAATGTAACCGGTCAGAAAATATTATATGAGTATGGATGTTAGTGTTTTTTTTTATGTAATCACATCATACGTACTCATCAGTAATGGCGAGAATTATATTTTTTTATAACCAATGCCGCAGAATATCTAGCTATCTCATGGTTGTTTTCTTTTTTTAATTCTTTTAATTCTAATTATAAATGTTTTATTTTATTAATCACGCTAAATCATCAAATGTGCTTCTATTTATACCGCTTAAATTATCTACCAAAGTTTTGTGGGCCAACTTAGATGAGATATGAAAATATGTAATTAAACACAATATCCTATTAGATTTATTTGTTGAATTATAGTGAGATAGTTTTATTTCGCGGCGAAAATTTTTGTTTAGATAATGGGACACGAACATATAAAAATTATTTTAGTGTTTAAATTTTATTTTGTTGAATCTATTTACCTATGCCAAAGGCATATGCCTTTTATTTTTGATTAGCTCTGCCATGTTTTTCGATCATAAATCTGGCTCATTGTTATCAATATGGAGCGATATTTTGAACTTATGTAGACGAAGGCGATTCCTTGATACTGTACTGTGTTTATTAATTGCAGACAACAAATTGGCTTGGGATAATTAGACTTAGTTTTTTTTAATTTAAAATAAATTTCGTAGCCGTACCTTAAATACAATTAGGTCAAACGTTAAGAGTAATCAGTGGCGTAGCGAGGTCGGGTGTCACCCGGTGCGGCACTTAATGGTGTCACCCCCCAGAGGCGTTGCGACCCTTCCCGGGGACAAACTTTCAAGTATTCGATTTGCACCCCCCCTCAAACTTTTGATTTGCACCCCCCCCCCTCAAACTTTCGATTTGCACCCCCCTTCCCTCAAACTTTCGATTGGCACCCCCCTCAAATTTTTCTCTCTATATTTTGCTATTTTTTGCCTTGGTGTCACCCCCCTAAATGGTGTAACCCGGTGCGGTCCGCACCCCCGCCCCCCCCCCTCGCTACGCCCCTGAGAGTAATATCGCTTTAATCCAAACCCAAAGGATTAAACTTTGCTCTAACTCTACATCTAATACCAAAGTTAACAACGCTAAACTAACTCTAAACCTAACTCACTGGGCGGTATATTTATACTAACACAACCGCGCTATGTCTCGAATCCTTTTCTCGCA